AGAGAGAGAGAGAGAGAGAGAGAGAGAGAGAGAGAGAGAGAGAGAGAGAGAGAGAGAGAGAGAGAGAATGGGGCGGGTGGCACTGTAGGTGTGGTCGTTTTCCAACCCGAACGGAGTTCCGCCAGAAGCCAAAAATGGGAAGAGAGAGAGAGAGAGAGAGAGAGAGAGAGAGAGAGAGAGAGAGAGAGAGAGAGCTTAAGTTTGTACACGGTTGTGGAGCACTCCAACACTTCAAATACCTCACAAACTCTGTCTGTGAATAGCAAAATTAGTCAAACAAGAAGAATGTCTGTGCAACACACAATTGCATTCAACGCTGTCCACCACCAATGTCTGTATCCCAGCTGTCCATCATGGTCTCTGAAGCGCAGCCAAGCCATGTGTGAGCACGAAGTATATCCTTTCCTGTTGATAGTGCCGGGTGCAACGTAGCACCAGAAGTGCTGGCTATAGCCCCGTGCAGGAGGCAACTAAGGTCCAGGCCCCAAGTGAGCGAGGTTGCGAGGACAGCCTCTCTGTTGACCAAGACAAACCAATTATTCCCCATATGTGACCATCTTTTTCCATTCGAGCATGATCTCATAATGGTCGTCAGTGCTGCATACTGGAGTGCGCCGTCAGGTGTTGCCTCCTTCAGCACGATACGCAACAGTAAATGGGGATTACGGAAAACACGTGCCAACCTGAGAATCGCATGTGCCCACCCTTAAGATGCTTGCCCTCCTCCTGCTTCAATATCCCAGTACGCATCATACTCCTCACCCTCCTCGTCGCTGCTCACATCACTGCCACTCACTTCCACCTCATATGTTGGCGGCTTTGCATCTTTTTCATTGTTCCTCACTGTTGTTTCTTCAATGTCATAGTCAAAATCGATTGGTAAAGAAGAGTCTTCGAACCCTCGTCGCCGTTGTTGTTCTATCATTGTCTACTCATTGAACACATCTTCTTCTTCAACCTCCTCCCTGGACACTGTGATGCACGAAGGAGACTGTTCTGTCAATTTCTTCCCCTGATGAAGTGTGTCCATCTGCAGCTTTAAGTGCAACATCTGCTTCCCTGGCGATCAACTTCCATCCTTCCTCCCTTGACCTCTTTCTGTCCACGTCAGAAGTCGCGATGGTGAGGCGATGCAAAGCTTCCATGAATATTCCATCCCATAATGGAGTTTCATATATGACATCCTCTTCCACAGTCCGCACCTTGTAGTTAACGAGGTCCTTGCCCGCCAGTGCTTGCTCTGTCACATCATGCAATGCCTCATGTATGACATTCCGATCCTGAGCACTCTTTTGCATGAAATCCACCAGATGGTCGAGTAAAACATACTCCACCTCGTTTGCAATAATGACTGGAAAATCTTGGAAGTCTTGCGGGGGAGCTTGCAGTATGTCCTTCAAACGCGACAGCAACAAAATTTCCGCTGCACCGCTCTTCAGCTCGTCGTTAGAATCTTCAACAAGCATTCCCCATTTCATCGCCTGTGTCATGAGCATCTTCTTGAAATCAGCTGCTGTGTATGTTCCGCTCTGCAAAGCTTTGTCATATTCACGTCCCCTTCAGCAGACATCCCTTCTGTGCACATCCGACCAACCACTTTTCTCAAGCTGTATGCACCGGTATCAGCACTGTCGTCTACACGCAAATCACGCGCCTCTGTGAACCGTGCCAATAGCATCCGTGCTCTGAGCGACTCCTCTCCRTTCGCAGCGATGCTTGCACGAATGTTCACTCTGACTTCGAAGTAGCTGGACACTCTCTCCGTTAGTAGTTCAAGCTCCCYGTCGTCATCGTAGTGGATGCCTTCCTCAGCGTATTGCATTACCTCTTTAAGAG